TACCTCAATAAACGCCACCATTCTCCTTCCGGATCTCAAGTCAAACTGTAACGGAATTGGTTTGCGAGGACGCGAGTGGGCTCGATATCTATTATCCACATAACTATTATAAAAAGCGGGGTCAACAAATTGTCGCCGTCTGTGAGAAAATCACATATTCAAACTACGAAAATCCTGTGGAAAAAGCCAGTAGGAAGATACATTCCTTGGGAAATTTCTTGCTTTTGAAGAAAACGAGGTGTTCTTGAAGAAAAAACTACCAAATATTCCTAGAGGGATCATTTTCTGGAGTCCAATATATTCCTTGAAGAAAGGAACATCATTCAGTTTCAAAGAGCCAAATTACTGGAGAAAACACTACCATGAGTTCGGGCAATGAAGAATCACCGCTTTAAAGATGTAAGAGGCACCCTGAAGAAGAGGTACCCTCGCATGCTGCTCCAACAATTTGCCATCGATTTCACCAACAACACAGGCGAGGTGGATCACGAGGTGGATCGAGAGGTGGGTCTAGAATAGCTTCTAGACTCACCAGGAAAGTGGCCACCATAGCCTCAAATATGAGAGATATAACCCAACAAAACATTGCCATGAATGAGCTACTAAAGAACATGCAGAGCCGGCGGATACCCAATTCCCTCATACACAGTTCAAGGAAATGCATTCTTTCACGATCCCCCGCAAAGAAACTACTACCATGGCTAAGAGGTCTAAAGCCAAATGACCGATTACCAACACTATACTAGTGAGGAAGACCCTCAAGAAAAGGAAGTTAGGGTTGATACATCCACCATTTATGCCACTGACCTTAAATTTTTATATATTAAATAATCTTTATAATTGCCTTTGATCACTTTCAGCTCGTGAGAATTCTTGAAGTTTTCGATCGCGTTGGCTCGAGCTTCTTCCAACTTGGATTCAAATTCCTTCATCTTTTGCTTGAGGTCGAACTTGGCATCCTCAGCCTCGTCTTTCGTTTAAAACCCGAGCTCATAGTGAGTCTTTTTCAATTCGGCCTCGAGAGCAGCAAGCCTCTCATCCTTCGCCTGACGATCAGCCTCGAGCTCAGCAATTCACCTCTCTCGGCGTTCCACAGCCTCAACAAGGTCGGCCGTCTTCTGGGCCTCATCCATTCCTTTAAGTGTCAATCCCCGAGCAATGCTCAAAGTCTGAAGAGTGGGGAACGAACATTCAGAAATATTGAAGAAATAATTCGAAGGTACTGTATAAAAAACAAGTTACCTTTACCGTCATCGCCTCGAGCGTGCTCATCCCAGCGTCGGCATCTACGTCCGTCCTGTACCAACCTACTATCGCTGGGATAAGAGTGCACCTCCTATAGTCTTCAAGCATTGAGCTCGTCGGTGGCACGTGTTCGTCCTTAAGGTCAACAACCTTGGGCGTACTCCTTGGCATCGATGACCTCTTTTCGATCGTCGGGGGAGGTGGCAGCCACTGCATCGGTGTCTGAGAACGATGGTGTGATGGTTCCCCGGGTCGCCTCACCGCGATTGTAGGGACTTGATCCCGAGCCCTTTTCTTACCCTTCTTCAGGCCAGACGCACGAGCTTGAGGACCTTGTGGCTTCCTCGAGGCAGTGACATTGAATGCTCCGGGGTCGAAAGTCATCTTGAGCTCTACAAAGTACAAAAACAAATAAACAAGTTAGTTTTCCGACAATATCATCAACTATTAGTCAAGACAGTTGCTCGAACACCCTACCCTCGACGCCCTTCACATTGGCAAGGTCGAGGATATCATCACCTAGGAGATGATCCAAATCGAAGGCAAGAGGCTTGAGGTCCTCCAGCATTTGCCTATCCCTTTCTAGCACCTCGAAGTACGCCTGGCCCTCATTGAACCGAGCAGTGTTAGGCACCATCCACCTCGGGCTAAATGGATGGTTGGGATCTTGAGGAGTTATAAAAAAGTACCTCGCCTTCCACCCTTTAAGAGAGCTCGGCATTTTTGGGATCCTAAACCTATCCCGGGTCGATAAATAAACAAAACAATTAAAGCTTGGAAGGTATTTAAGCTTGAAGGCCATTCTCAGAAAGTCGAGCCTCGGGTTTATAGAAAGTGCCCGGCAAGCAATGAAGAAGTATGTTATCACCACGCATTCGGTACAAGCTGCTTGGGGCACATCTCATGCTCCACCAAAAACTCGACGAGAAAATGGTGGAGGGGCCATCTCATTCGCCCTTTTAAACTATCTTTGAAAACCACTATCTCCCCTTCCCGTACACTCGAAACTATATCCTCGGGTCCAGGGGTTCTAACGTCAGACGAGGGCATTAGGCCATATTCCCTTGCGATCTTTAAAACCTTCTGTTCTTTATACCTAGATCGGAGGTCAGAAACACCTATGGGCGGCCTACTACTTAAGGGGACGGCCACGGGAACTATAGACTGTACGTCGTCGGGGGTTAGGCTAGGCCTCGATGATCCACTAGACATTTTCTTAGTAAAAAGGAAAAAAGAAGGAAGAACTTACAAACTTAAAATTATCTACAAGTCGCGAAGTCTTACCTTAAGGCTAAAACCCGAGGTGGTCCGAGGTACCTTGAAGAAGTATAAAATGCCAAATACTGTAGGTATGGGGTATTTATAGGGAGCAAAAGAAGTTGAAAGGCCTCCCTATCTCCACCATCCATCATCTGACACGTGGTAAGCATCCAACGAGCTAGGCACATGGCCAACATGATGAAGCCACGTGGCATCATCTTGTTGGCCCCAACCCAGAAAAGGACGATCTCAGACACGTGGTTGATCATGCCTTTCACTTGGTTGATCATGCCTCTTCCAAGGATGATCACGCCTAAATTTCACATGGCTGATCATGCCTTTTACCTGGTCGATCATGCCTCCTCCAAGGCTAATCATGCTTGTCACTTGGTTGATCATGCCTCTTCCAAGGCTGATCATGTCTAAATTTCACATGGCCGATCATGCCTTTTGTTTGGCTGATCATGCCTTTTATATGGCCGTTCATGCCTCCTCCAAGGCTGATCATGCCTAAATTTCACATGGCTGATCATACCTCCTCCAAGGTTGATCATGTCTTTTCTAAGGCTGATCATGCCTAAATTTCACATGGCTGATTATGCCTTTTGCTTGGCTGATCATGCCTTTTACATGGCTGATCACGCTTCCTCCAAGGCTGATCATGCCTTTTGCTTGGCTGATCATGTCTTTTACATGGCTGATCAGGCCTCCTCCAAGGCCGATCATGTCTTTTCCAAGGCTGATCATGCCTAAATTTCACATGGCTGATCATGCCTTTTGCATGGCTGATCATGCCTTCTCCAAGGCTGATCATGCCAAAATTTCACATGGCTGATCATGCCTTCTCTAAGGCTGATCACGCCTCTTACTTGGCTGATCATGCCTTTTCCAGGGTTGATCATGTCTCACTATACATGGAGGCTCATGCATTCTCCAAGACTGATCATGCCTTCTACTTGGTTGATCATGCCTCTCACATGACAGCCGACCATGCTTTTTTCAAAACTGATCATTCCACTTCAAGGACATTATGTGCAACGTATCCCAATGTCTCGCGCATCGAGCTTTGGCATGGATGCACGGGGGCCACTGATGATACCAATTTTGATGTTACTAAACCCGAACACCAAACCCGAGGATGTTAGGTCCCATCCATGACAGATTCTCAAGATCTCCTCGAGCCTTCGAGCTCGGGGTACTTTCGACACATCAGCTCTTTCGCTATTGAAGTCTCGAACCACGCGACCCCTAACTTATTATGAGCCTACTACTTGGTAAGACACCCTGGGAAACAAAGTCCTTCTGGGAGTATGTTACCTCATCCTAGGAGGACTCTACCACCAGAATTCTATCCTAATCCAAACACATGGGCAATATGAAACCAACTACATTACAACTTCCAATTGCACTAGGACTCCTAGGTATCTCAACATTGTAGTCCTACTAGGAGTCCTTCACCTACCTCTATAAATACATCATTCTCATTCATTATCAAGGTATGTTTTTACACAATTTGCAGCATATATTATTTCATAAATTCTCTCTCTGACTTAAGCATCGAAGGGGCGACAATGACACACCTCGACACCTTTGTTTCAGGTATCGAAAGACCTCATTCGTACTCATTCTTAGTCGTCAAGCTCGGAAGTTGACAGGTACGATTTTTGGTAGCATCATTTAGGATACTACCTTTGCTTTGAAAATTACCAGCTGTCAAAAAAATTCTGGTTCCATTTCGTTGTGATTCATTGAAAAGTAATCGAATTGGTGGTAATTTATTTTTGCTCTAATAGTAGACAAAAACATGGGTAATTTTCAATTGAATGAAGGGTCATGGCCAGCTGAGAATACCATAATAAGAACATAAATCTCATACATAGTCAAACAAACAAACCATAATTTAGAAGATTGTTTACATGGTGACAAAAGCTTGTCTGAAAATTGAAGGTAACCACGTAAGGATATAACAATATATACCTGCTCAGTTCGATCTTTACCACAACCACTTGGATCCTTGCACTCTGCACATTAAAAGCAATCAAGTTAATCAGATGACAACTACAAAATCATAGAATACGGTTCACGTTTTGATATGAATCCGATTACACAATTTTAGCCCTACATGTTTATAGGCACTGAACAGTAACACATAATGCTGCTTGTTTTGAAGAGTATAATTTTTTTACCCTTAAATTTTTTTATTCTGAATCTAAAAATAGAATAAATGGAGAGTTTTAATATTCAATCTAGAAAATAGTAAAAGCAACTTTGAGAGACTTACTTGTCGTACAAAATCCAGCAACCAGGTCCCATTGCAACCCCGGAGTTACAAAAGCACCTGCCGACCCCATCGGCCGAGTTTGGGTCGGGGTCCACAAGTGGATTTCAAATCGCAATCCCCTTGTGCCCTACAGGTGGGCTCTGTGGGCAAAACCCACTACAATTCCACTCCAGGCACCGGCCACCTGTTTACCAACAATCCGTAATCCAAATTCATGAAGCTCATGTACGCCTTTCAACCTGAATCCCTAACTCGTATCCTGTAAGCCGTTGTCGATCCTCTCGCCCTGAACGCACAACACAGTAGCGCATCGACAAGCTACCCCTGGCCGTGCCGTTGATGTACACGTCGCAGAGGCTGTCGGAGGTGTAGTTTAAAGGGCAGTTCATTATGTTGGCGGAGCAATCGAGGTAGAAAATGGTGTTACTGCTGGTATGTTGAAGGGGGCGGAGTTATTGAGTTGGAGGCCGTTGGACGGGAGATTGGATGCAATGCAGGTGTTGCCAAGGAAAGGAGAGAGAGCAATGGTGAGGCGTTGAATAAATGGGGAGATGGAGGTGATTGGGTAAGTATTGTTGACAGAGTCGAACAAAAGGGAGCCAGCGTTGCATCACTTCTATAAAACTGGTCGCCGCAGTCTGGAGCGGTGCTGAGACGGTACGGGACTGAGGTGGAGCCACAGTTGGGGCAGACCTTGAGGGACAGTATGTTGGAAAAAAGAGTAATGCTATTCATCCTTATTGGGATTACAAACACAGTCTAGGTAGCGCACTGGGGATGAATAACATTACTCTGGAAAAAAATGAGGTGATGGCTGACTTTTGCATAAATTTTGAGCGGGACCCGTTTGCTTAATTTGGAATATCAACACTGATTTGTGTTCTCCTCCGTGACAATATCAAAATCATGTATTTACTTGTCAAAAATGAAGTTCGGGTGAATGAAAAATTGGAGTTTAAAGTGGACTATTGAAATATGATTTTTGTTGGAGGGAAAACTGAATTTGAGTTTATCCCACATAGGAAGTTGATAAAAGCAAGAACCACTTTATATATGGCCACACTTTGGAAGTGTGTAATCATATGTAGTATAGAGGCTCTCTCCACGTGCACGCTCATAGGGTGCAAATCACGGACTGAAATAAGCTTCAAACCTTGAACTTGTGTGCGGGCACGACCTGCATATACGAATGTCGGACAGAATTGACCAAAAATTGGCTCCTTAGGATGACATACATTTTGTCAGTTTTTTACCGTTGTATCCTGGGAAAAAGACGCTCAAGTTAAATTTCAAGCACCTACGGTAAGAGAGCGAATTTGTTTTAAGGAAACTGTGTTCACATAGGGATGGCAACGGGGCAGGTATGTGACGGGTTAGCTATTCCCACCACCGTCCCGTCGGATTTTTTTGTTACCTTACCTTATCCCCATACCCAGTTAAAGCGGGACGGGGCGGTTCGGGGTGGGGCAGGGCAAGTCTTTTACCCCATTTATCGCCCCACTTATTTTTTCTTTTTATTTATTTTATTTTTTACTT